TGACAGATCCTGGGCTAACCTCACTATTGCTGCCATGCTTGAGCCCATTGATGTTGCCACTTTGCCAATCCATCTCACTGGGGGTCTTCCTCTTTTTCTGTGACCCTCTACTTTACCAAACATATGATATCCTTCTCCAGTGATTGGTCCCTCCTGACAATATGCATGAAGTATGAGGAGAGCATAATATGGTATTTCCACTCGAAAAGCAGCTGAGTAAGAGATCTAACATGCAGTCGGGCTAATTTCAGGGCCTTCTGAGCACTGACCATATGCCAGATGGTTTTTCTTTAATCTTCAAGATAGCCCCATGAAGGAGGCATTGTTCTGATTCACTGATGAGAAATCTGAGGCACTAGGGAACATGCATGTCCATGTTCCCACATCAGTGATAGAACCAGGACTCCAATCGAGCTAAGCACTTTCAGAATGCTTTCTCTAATCCTCTCCTCTGCACTTTCTGCCTCAAGGTTAAGTGGAAGGAAAGCTCTCACAGATACTCCAGGGCTCCCAGTGGTGCATTCCAAGTGTGAGGGAATTGGGTATACTGATGTTGCCACTCGATACTGCTACAAGGCTCGATCTTCAACACTAAATCCTAGTTCTCCATGAAGTATCCATAGAGCAACTTCAAGGAGGGAGACTCAGTCTCCTGACCCCAACTCCTGAGTTAACTCCAAGAAATTGACCACTACTTTTAGCACTCCTTTTAAATAAAGGACAAATACTTTCCTCGACAGAAGTGCTTTATCTACTTCATCTGACTTAAACTCCCTTTCCAAGGACAAAGCCAACTATTGAGTGTGAAATCAACTGCTCTTTGAGACCAGGCAGTGATGGCATCAAATAGAGACTGAGCTCCCCTTGCCTATTTCAGACCAGGGGACTGAAGATTGTAAAGGGTGGTTTATTGGTGGTTCAGTCAGAGAAGTCTAGAAATCTTCCTAAGGCCTCCCATTTCTTTAGCAAGTTAAGTTAGGATCAGGAAAAATTCTGAGATGAGCAAGACTGGAGGCTAACACAAAAGGGAAAAATCACTACTTAAAATTTAGAGATTGGACACATTGTAGAATTTATTTTTGCATACTGAATTTTTAATTCAGTGATTTTAAAAATACAGAATTAAAACACTGCTTGTCTTGATGACTTATTTGTATGTATGTATGTACTTCCTTAAACTGTGCATTTTAAGGTGTATTACACTTAACTCACCCTGGTCCTGGCCCTGAGAAGGAGGTCAGGGCATTGAGAAACAACCAATGTCAGGGGTCACTATATCAACAGTGTTTCTTGGGTATACCACATTTAGTTAGCTACTGGCTAAAAATTGTGTGAAGCAAAATGGAAGTGAAGATGGGGATTCAGAGGTGCTCCAAAGCAAAAAATAAATGACTGTGTTCCCACCATCCTAAGACTCAGTCCATCAGATGTGTGATCAACTTATTAATACATATTTGTTGTTGTTGTTGTTGTTAGGTACCCTCAAATCAGTTCCAACTCATAGAGACCTTATGCAGAACAGAACACTTCCCAATCCTGCACCAACCTCACTATAATTATGCTTGAGCACATTTTTTCTGCCACTATGCCAATTCAATTTGGGGTTCTTCCTCTTTTTTGCTGACCCTCCACTTTACCAAGCATGATTGTCCTTCTCTAGGAACTAGTCGCTCCTTAGGTCTCAAGTATGAGAAATGAAATCTGGCTATTCTGGCTGTATTTCTTCCAACACAGATTTGTTTGTTCTTCTGACAGTCCATGATACTTTTAATATTCATCTCTAAAACCATACCTCAAATGCATCAATTCTTCTATGGTCTTCCATATTCATTGTCCAACTTTCATATGCATTTGTGGCTACTAAAAAATATCATGGTTTAGGTCAGGTGTACCTCAGTCCTCAAATTAACTTCTTTGCTCTTGAGCACTTTAAAGAAGTCTTCTGTAGCAGATTTCTTAAGGCAATAGGTCGTTTAATTTCTTTACTGCTGCTTTATTGAGTGTTGATGATTGATCTGAGCAAAATGAGGTCTGACATCTTCAATCTTTTCTCCATTTATATGGATGGTGTTTATTGGTCCAGTGGTGAGGATTTTTATCTTCTTTAAATTGAGCTGCAAACCATACCAATGTGGTGTTTGAGCTTCATCAGTAAGTATCTTAAGCCCTCTTCATTTTCAGCAAGTACAAGCAAGGTTGTATCAGCTGTATATCACAAGTCGTAATGAGTCTTTCTCCTAGCTCAATGCCATGCTTTTCTTCATATAATCTAGCTTCTCAGATTATTTGCTCAGCATACAGATTGAATAAACATGGTGAAAGAATACAACCTTGGCATACACCTTTGATAATTTAAAACCATTTAGTGTTCCTTTGTTTTGTTCGAACATGTGCCTCTTGGTCTATGTACAGGTTCCTCATGACCACAGTTAAGTGTTCTGGTATATTCATTCCTGTAATGTTGTCCATAGCTTGTCATGATCCACATAGTTGAAAGCCTCTGCGTAGTCAACAAAGCAGAGGTAAACATTTCCAGTATTTTTAGGAGGAAAAAAGTACCTAGTAAGCTTCTTTTGACAGTGTTTATGAGAAACACTGAGATTCCAGAATTAATACATGGTGCAAAACACCCTCCAAACTAAACCCAAACTCTGCCGAGGGTTCCATTCTGATTTATATTGTTCCTACAGGCCAGAGTAGAACTGCTCAGTAAGATTTCTGAGGTTGTGAGCAGACTGCTATGTATTTCTCCTGCCCAGCAGTCTGTGGGTTCTGGGTTCCCAGTTAGCTGTGGAGTGCTTACCCAGAGCACCACCATGGCTCTTGGACAAAAAAAGGCTTTTAAAATACTGGTAATTGGTACTATGGTTTTCTTTTAAGGTCACAAGCCATAAAGTATGCACTCCAACAAAATAAACTCAACGTACAAATCCGGTTTTGTCGATGAATAATTGTACTTATTTACACTAATCAGTTCTCAAAAGTAATCTAACAATTGCTAAACACTGTCTAGAAGACGGGCCCAAGGCAAAATGCTCAGTAAGAGAATTAACACAGTGGCTCCCCGATTCTGAATCCTTCCAAAAGAAAACCCCTTCCATAAAGATCTTCCCTGATTTTCCTTCCCACAAACTCGCTTCATTTTGATCTCTTCATCTTTCCTTTCCAAACCAGTTCTGACAAAGCTAGTAGCCATCATTGTTATCATCTGTGAAGTTGCCCTCGCTTTGATTCCAACTCATAGCGCCCGAGGAGCAGCTGGTGCAAATGAGTGATGACAGTTTAGTGTTTTACACCCTGAGAAATTACCATTTTGACATAGATTAAAATTTTAAAACCAAAGAAATGAAATTTAAATAACAATTTAATTCATCGTGGCTGAGGGTGGGCTCCCTAGATTCTTTAAACTACAGCACAAAGACTACCCATTCTTTCTTATTTCTAACCAACGTGTGAGCAATTTAGTGAGCTATTACTTTCTTACTGTGTCTCCTAAAATCCTCCAGCGCTCAGTCAGTCAGAAGTCAAAGCTAGAAGTGCCACGCCTGGGGGGCAGGGGTATTCTTTTGTAAGGCACTGCGCTTGGGCTAGGGGTATTTTCCACTCTGGATTGCAGAGCAGGGTAGAAGGATGAAGAACATCATGCACCCCAAGCCCCCAGGAGCAAGGGAACCACCCAACAGGAGGGGAGTTTACCCAAGCTGATAGAACTTGGCTTGGAAAAGGAAAACGAAAGATGGCTGAAATAAGAGCTGCTCGTCCCTAGCTGGGGGCAGACCTTTAACCAAGGGATAGTGGGGAGCACTTGGTTTCTCAAACTGTCCACACACAGGACAAGGACCACGCCCACTCGAAGGAGTAGTACTTACAGCAGCACAGTGCGCAACTGCGGGCCATTGGGCTATAGGGAGGTGGGCGCGGCTGAGAGCCCGCTCTCCTAAAGCGGCTCCGCAGTGTCAGACCTGACCTAAGGCACCCGCCGCCTGGGAGGATGTGCGATTCAGTGCGGTCTCACAGAAAAGCGAGGGTTTCTGCTGCTGCCGCATCGGTACCGCGGACAGTCGCGCGTGTTTTTGATGGGAGACAAGATGCATCAGAAGTCAGTTCCCAGCAATCCCCAAGCGCCTCCGTTGTCCGCAGAGCCAAGGGGCGCGGCGGCCAGGGCGATGCCTGGGGTGCGGGTAGAGCCGGAGCGAGGGGCGCCCCGCGCATACACTTCCTGCTCTAAGTCAGCTGCCTTCCTGGCCCAGCCTCACCGTGCCCAGCGTCCCGGCAGGCCGCCTCACTGCTCACGGTCCTGCGCGGCTGCCCGGATGGAGGCGCCTCGGCCCGGCCTCCCCTCGGTTCCGGTCGGCAGGGCTGAGCAAGCCGCCGCCCGCACTTCGGCTCGTGGACACCCACTCGCCCAATTGAGAGCAGTGTTTGCGTTGGCACCTCCTCTTCCCTCCCCGCCCCTGCCGCGAGAGGGACGGGCCCATCTGGCCCCGGCTGGCGGATTCTGCGGCCCGGGATGGTATTTATATGCAAACCGTCCTATTCGCTCCAGATTTTTCACGCCTGGCACTGGCAGAGGAGAGCTGTTTTTCCGATTTTTTTTTTTTTTTTATTGCACCTGCCTTTCCAGATTACCTTTGCGAACCTGTGGGAGGGGCCGAGAAGGTGGAAAATGTTGCTTTGCTTGGCAAAGGAAAGGAAAGTTTGTTACCCAGCGGGAACCCTCTGCCATGTGTAAGGCGCTGAGAGCCTCACAGGACAACCTTGGACTTTGCTTTGGATTCCGATGAACCTGTAAGAAAAAGAGGACGCTTGAGCTGGGCGCTCGTCTCCTCCCGGGTGGCGGCGACCGCGAGTCCCCGCTCCACCTTCCCCGCAAGGTGCCTTCAGAGGTGGAAAGGAACCAGTCCGACGGCTTGAAGAGGGGAGAACGAGTGGGGTCGGCGGAGGAAAGGCGAGAACGGTTCCAGGAGCTAGTCGCCCGGAATTAACTTTGGGTTAAAGTTATGGGAAGCGCGGTCATGGACACCAAGAAGAAGAAAGATGTTTCTAGCCCCGGTGGGAGCAGCAGCAAGAAAATCTCCAGTTCTAAGAGGCGTTCGCTGCGCGTGCACATTCCGGTAAGTGGTGCCCCGCGTGCGCCCACGACACTCTTATCACTCGGGCCGTTCGGAGAATGGCGCAGGGTGGTAAAGGAGCTGGGCTTCTGCCGCCTGCAACCTAGTCTCGGCAATGTCTGGGACGGTGGCGGGCTCAGGGCGTCTCTGGGACCCGGTCGCTGAGACCGCTTGAGTGCGATGGGAGGCGCGCCGGGTTTGTTTTGCTGGGAGAAAGTCGGGTGGCTAGGCTCCGGGGGGCGAGGCGTACAGCTGCCTGCTGGCGAGGAGACTGCTGGCGGGTGGCGCGTACTTAGGGCCGCAGGAGTCTCGCGGGGTGGCTGCGTTCTGCCGTGGGTCTGCCCGAGATCCCCTACGGTATCTCCAGGCCAAAGAGGAGGCTTCTCGGCCACCGTTCCTCGCTTGGACGCGCATTTCGGGCCTCGTGGTATTAGGGGGCTAAAGGGGAACCCTACCCCGTTGGGGCTGCTATGAGCTTCACCCTAGGCTCAGTCAAGCGCCTCGCCAGGTTCTTAAGCGCCCTTGATAGGTCTGCGGTTCGACTCTAGTTCGCGGGGGTCCTGGACTCGCCGGGCAGCTCACCTACACTAGTAGGTCGCAGGTGGCCTCTTGCTCTCGCCTCTCGGTAAACAGTTTCGGGTGGCAGTTGCTCCACAGCTCTTCCCTTAAGCTGTCAGAATCCCCCCGACTGGGTCATACCCTCAGCCTCTATCATCTAGTAAATGTCTGTATACATGTTTGTACACACATGCACACACACGCGCGCTTGGCTTTAATACTAGGGTGGGAGTGTGTTGTGGGGCCCCCGCCCACCGTCCTGCTTTACCTGGTTAAAGCTCATCCTTCCCTTCTGCTGCCAGGTGGGCGCGCCCGAGGGCCATTTCCCTATTATTCGGAACCCCATTAGCCACGTCCCTCCTAGTGTTTATTGAACGCAGCTTTAACTTTTAGACTTTAACTTTTAGATCTTCCTGTTCAAATTTTTTCTGTCAACGTGTGTAGAGTCGACAAAAGAGAGCGTCCAGTCTTCTGATCTGTTTCATTCGGGGAGACTCCTGGGCAGCCCTTTCAGCACCGCGGGGAGCACGTGGAGTGGGGAGACTGGGTCCTGAGCTGTTGTGGGACCACAACAGTGATCCAAGTGTGCATATTCTATTTGAAAATAAATGTCCCTGTTCTAATGGGAGATATATTTTGACCATATTTGTAAATTACAAGTTGGAGGGTCACTACTACAAACTTCCCTTTAGTAGTGACCGACCACCTGAGCAAAAAAACCATTTAACCACTGTTTCTCTCATTTTTCAAAAGAGAATGTGCCTGCTTTACTTGCCTTGTGGGAGAAGACAAGGCTGTCTGGTCCCACAAAGATTTAAAATCTCAGAAACTGTATATAGGGTCGATTTGACTCATAATTGACTGGATGGCAGTAGTTTTCTTTGGTTGTGTTGTTGTTGTTGTTAAGTGCCGTTAAGTCGGTTCCGACCCATAGCGACCCTGTATAGAGTTTCCAAGGAGCAGCTGGTGAGATTGAACCAATTTGCAGTTCAAACAGAATTTGCAGTCCATAGCATGAACCCACAGCACCACACCAGGACTCTGGTTGTTGTGATAGTTGGATTAAATAACCCATGTAAAATTAGTTTGGAGATTTTAGGGTCATGATTTCATAGGATATCCCAGATAATTGACCTAATAATGTGTTTACTGCTTCTGTTCTATCTCCTGGATCACTGGGTAGTAAAAAGCTTGCAACTGGTTATTCAAGATACATTAATTGTTCTTTAGTCGCTTGGAGCAACAGAGGAAGAAGGAAAGTCAGAATCAGGAGGAGGAAATTGACCGTCTGGCTAATTGCCTCCATTAAAAAAAAAACTTCCTCCTCCTTTGCCATGAGACCAAAAGAATTGGATGGTACCCAGCTATTATTACTGAATATTTTGATCAAGGATTGTGTAAAACAATCCTGATCAAAAGGGGAAAATGCAGAACAGAGTTTCAAAGTCTCATGGACCCCAAACGTTCTGGAACCATGGAAAATGGATGTTTAAACCTTAAACCAAAAATAGGCCCTGTCATCTTCTTTAAACCAAATAATAGTTAACCTTAACCAGTGAACAATGTCTGCCTTGAGCATTGTGCTTGCTTAAGATTTATCTGGTGCTGTAGGGTAAGCACTGGACCACAAGGTCAGTTTGAACCTCAGGGTCAGTGGTTCAAACTCACCAGCTGCTCCTCAGAAATCCTATACAGGGTCGTTATGAATCATTACCAGCTTGACAGCACTTAACAGCTAGAATACAGGATCATACAGACAACAGCCTATCAAAAGATAAGATAGGAAAGTTAGGGGCAGTGAGTTTCTTTTAGCAGGAAGGAACAGCTTGAACCAGGAGGTGAGAATGGTTGTACTGGTGGTGGCTATGTGCCGTGGAGTCAGTTCCAACTCATAGTGACCCTGTACAGGGTTTCCAAGGCTGTAAATCTTTACGGGAGCAGAACGCCTCATCTTTCTCCCGCGGAACAGCTGGTAGTTTCGAACTGCTGACCTTGAGGTTTGCAGCCCGATTCATAACCACTATGCTATCAGAGCTTGAAGAATAATCACTCCCTGAATTGTACATGAGAAGCTCTTGAATTGGTGTGTGTTCTGTTCTGTTCAACTGCAATAGCTAAAGTAAAATATATATATATATATATATATATACAGACATGTAGATATGTATATATCCATGTGAAAACTCTTTACAAATGTAAAGCATTATATAAATGTATGGCTAATACACATGCACCAGAGCACCTAATGCATAAAGAGAGAGAGAGAGAGACTTGTTTATTTATTTAAATGCATTGTCCTGTGGAAAGCCAGATTGTAGATTGTAGTGAGGAAGTACATGAGCCAGGCCCCAAATGCCCTGTTTGAGCTGAGATGCCAGGCTGTGGAGTTGAACGGCTATGAGAAAGTCTTACCCACTCTCCCTACTTCTAGTGATGACTGTGACTGCTCTCTGTACCGTTCGTGGCATGATTTTGCCTTCATGGAATGTAGCATTCATTCATTCATTCTTTAGCTGTTCACTGAGTGCTGACATCACCCAGCATCTGGCTGGTGTTGCAGAAACAGTGAGCTTAGTGGCTGCATGATGAGTAATTGTTGTTGTTAGGTGCTGTCGAGTCGGTTCCAACTCAACTCATTAGCGACCCTGCATAGGATTTTCAAGAAGCGACTGTTGGGTTTGAACCACCAGCCTTGTGGTTAAACTGCTTATCCCATAGTACCACACTGGGACTCCATAATGAGTAATTAATTACATGCTATCATATGTCAAAGTAGGCATTCAGACAGATGATAGGAAGTGGTATGAAGTCATAAGATGAATTCTGTAGGCAGTCCAGGCTCCTAGAAGTAAGAGAAGGGAGAGAGGACGTTAGGCCCAGAGAGGGTAGATGGCTAGATTAAGTATGAGAAAGTACGAGGCTACTGCCATCAGGAGGCCAGCATGAATACCTTCATGGAAAAAGGGTTTGCTACCAGGTTCAGCTACCCCCCACCCTTTTTTTAAGTTTTTATTGTGAATTGAGTAATAGTTTACATGGGAGAACATCAGTTTTATATTCACCCTGTCGTATTTCATTTCATTGCAGTGATTACAATCCCCTCCATGCATCATCATTCAACAGTATTTGCTTCTCTTCCCTCTTGTTTTTTTTTTGGGGGTGGGGGTGGGGGTGGGGCAGTTGTACACCAGAACACTCAGGAATATACAGTCATTCAAACAACCAAAGGGCACACCCTGCAAGCCTGCCCGCCCCCGGCCACCAGCACACAGCCCCTCTCCCTCCATGAATCTAGAGTCCTCAGCTGAAAGAGCCCCATCTTGATGAGGAAAACAGTTTGAGGATGAGGTCAATAAAAAATTGTTTGAAACCAGATCAGAGAGGTCTGCCATGTAGAATTGCCAGACTTAGCAAATAAAATTACAGGATGCCCGGTTAAATTTTAATTTCACATCAATAGTTGATAATTTTTTTTTTTTTTTAGTGTAAGTATGTCCTAGTCATTATTTGGGGTATGCTTATGCTAAAAACATATTCATTTTTTATGTAAAATCCAAATTTAACTCTTGTGTCCTGTCCTGGCAGTCTGAAGTTGAAGGTAGGCCAGGGAGTGAAGACAGCTTCCTGAGACAATATGAAGCTACAGCTGAAGACACTGGTGGTGCCCTACCCCTTGTGCCTAGGGGCCGTCTAAGTTTACCTGCAGCCTCTCTTGCTTATGCTTGTTTTTTCTCTGTGCCGGAAGGAATTCTCCTGGATTGGGCCATCTTGCTCATTCCCCATGGAAGTGGTAGGATTATGCCTTTCGGGGAATTTCTCATCGAATGAGAGGTGTAGTTGGTAGATAGGAACCCCAGCTTCCCCATCCCTTGGTGAAATATTTAAAAGTGTGTTCTGTAGGTTTTCCCAGTTGCCCCTAGCAGACCCAAGTCTTGGTTGCTCATGGGGTATCTGCTATTAAAGGACCATTATTGGTTTTTTGACCAAGATGCATTGGAATAGGAAATACAGCCTTGGTGATAGAAATGACAGAAGAAATTTACGTGATAGAATTTTGCTGGACAAATGACTTATTGGAAATAACCCTTTTCCAGCAACATAAAGTGGATATACACATGAACCTGACCAAATGGAATACACAGAATCAAATACACAGGGATCAAATTGACTACATCTGTTAGAACAAGGCCAGTGTCAGCTCACCAATTTCTCATATACAAGTTCAAGTTGAAGGCTAAGAAATTAAAGCCAGTCCATGAGAGCTAAATTATGACCTTAATTATATCCCACCTGAATTTAGAGATGAAAAATAGATTTGAGAAAGAAGAGGAAAAAAAGAGTAACCTGATACAATCAGATGATCCTGACCTACACCTATGGATGCAGTAGCTCAAAATAGGGAACAAATCTTTGCAGCAGGGATCATTCCCAACCCCTCCATACAC